ACGTCAATTCTTTAGTCTTCCTTACACATTGTACTGCTTTCGCATGCATATGAGGCGACTGAAAATATCATGGCTTGGGTCAGGTGCACTTTAGTCCTCAAAGTGACATCTTTGCTTTTCAACACTTTAAAGAGGTCTTTTGTAGCAGATTTGACCAATGCAATACATTGTTTGATTTCTTGATTGCTGCTTCCATGCGCGAATGGAATGGATTACTACTCAGCAATAAAAACCAACAAACTACTGATACATGTCACAATATGCTTGAATCTCAAGTACATCATGCTAAGGAAAAGAGAAGTGCCTGGGTGGCGCAAATCGTTAAGTGCTTGACTACTAACTGAAAGGCTATCAGTTTGAACCCACCCAGAAGCTCCTCAGAAACTGGGCCTGGTGATCTATTTCTGAAAAATCAGTCATGAAAACCCTATGGAGCACAGTTCTAGTTTGACACATGTAGGGTTTCCATGAGTCAGAACGAACTCCACAGCAACTGGTAACTGAAAAGTAAATGAAGCAAGGTGAAAAAACCTTACACATTGTATGTTTTCATGTGTATGCAAGGCTCAGAAAACATAAATCTTTAGAGACAGAAAGCAGATTAGTAGTTTCCTGTGGCTGGGGATGGGAATGAAGATTAACTAAAAGAGGGACCTTTGTAGAGTGATGGAAATGTTCTAAAACTGGATCGTGGTGATGGCTGCACAACTCTGTAAATTTACTAAAAATCATTGAATTGGACACTCAAAACTGGTGAGTTTTAAGATAAGTAAAGTATGCCTCAATAAAGCTGTTAAGAAAGCATATGAACAGTGTAATTTCAATTATATGAAAATAATATATGTACAACTACACATGTAAACAGATTGTAATAATATAAATGAAAATTAATATCACTTAGTAGTGGGATTATCAGTGATTTAATTTTATTTTTGTGCATTTTTATTTTTTCCATTTCCTATAATAAAAATGTTATTTAAACAGAAAAAGTAATTAAAAAAATTTTATAATAGCACTGATTTACTTTTTAAAAAACTATTCCTTAAAACAGACAATAAAACAACACATCCAATTTATGCCACATGGAAGAACCATACTTGCACATATCCAGTGATTAGACTTCTAAGAAACTCAGCTATGTGGGACCAGAAGAAACCCTAGTAGTCCCAAAGCTCAGGCAATTTACTTTGCATCAGAGAATGAAACTACCCTCAGGCCTAAGCCTTCTAATTAATTTGATTTAAAAATCAAATTAAGCTTGATTTAATGGCTCCGTTTATTGAGTACTTGTTGTTGTTACTGCTAGCTGCTCTCCAGTCACCAGATTCAGGGCTATCCTTGTGATCCATAGGGTTTTCACTGGTTGATTTTCGGAAGTAGATTTCCAGGCTTTTCTTCCTAGTCTGTCTTAGTCTAGAAACTCTGCTGAAACCTGTTTAGCATTCAGCAATATTCACGCCTCCACTGACAGACAAGTGGTGGCTGTGCTTGAGGTGCATTGGTCGGGAATTGAACCCAGGTCTCCCACATGGAAGGCTAGAAGTCTACCACTGAAACACCACTTCCCTCTATCATTGAGCACCTGCAGTGTGCAAAATGTTATGCCAGATCCTTTACGTATCTGAATATTAATCTCCAGAACTACTGTATGTGGAAAGTATTAATACTTTACAGATGCAGAAATTGAACTTACACAAGGTAGTTACCCAACAGCCTCTATAGCTAGACAGTTTAAGAGCCCATGATTTCAATCTCAAAACTGTGATCTGAATTACCAGGTAAGATTTCTGAAGAAAAAGAGTGGTCAGATTGGTTTGGGAAACACTGCATACTTAGCCCCCTCCCCTTTTTAAGACTGACAACACACATGAACATATGAAAACACCCAAAAAGGATACCATAAAGAAATAGTTTAACAAATGGTCTCAGCCAACTGACCATGAGTATCTCCCTTCCCCCTCTTTAATGTATTACCTATTAACATCCCTCAGGTGCACCAAAACCAATTAGGAAATCATACTAGGCTACAACTTCATGCAGCAGAAATTGTTATTGTTATCTGTCAACTAATATTTGACATTAACATCTTCCTTAGAAATAGAATTCTCATGTTATTTGGAGTAGCAACATGCTGAGCTAAAATGTGGCTATATGCCTAGTATCAGGTCATTTTTAGGTGTAAGTGGAATTGTTTTGTGGAACGTCTAGCAAGGTTGATTAAAGGAAACTGATTCAGATAAGATTACATTTTTTTTTTTGAGAGGGGGCTTTCTTTTCTTCCTCCTTCCACATAGTGATAGCTGGAGCTCCAGCAGCCATTTTGGACCAGGGAGTGATGTTGACGATGGAAGCCAGTGTAAAGATGGCGGAGTAGAATGACAGAAGGAACCTGGGTCCCTAATAACTATTGAGCCATGTTTCATTTTTAGACTGCCTACCTTCAAATGTTTTATGTGTGAGAGAAATAATTTTCTCTTTTCAGCTACGCCTTGGAAACCCTGTGGGGAAGTTTTACTCTCTCCTATAGGGTCACTAAGAGTCGGAATCGACGTGATGGCAATGGGTTTTGGTTTAAACCACTATTATGACTGATTTTATGTTAAATGCAGTTGAACCTAACCTAACACAGACTTGGTCATCTAGTTTCCCTCTTCATTTTTACTCACGTTATAGTAGCTATATCAGAGCAGAAAAAAAGAGGAAAGAAGATGCTTAGAAGTTAATACAGAAATAATGAACTAATTCTTGACATGCAAAGAGGGGGCATGATATTCACCAGTAGTAATCTGGGGACTATTTAGTCATGATTTGGAGTCAACAAGTAAAGATCAACTTATTTTCAGAATATTCTCATTAATAAGACAAAGGCATAGACTTAAACACTGAAGTTGGAAAATAATTTTGATAGAATAAAATTCTTCAGTTCCTGATGATTATAAATAAAAGCGGTATAATGCTGAATAAAAAAGTTATATAAAGCAATGTTCCCTAAAAATGTGTTCATTAAAACATAAGTTCCACAGGATGTTAATAGGTGTTGGGGCAGAAAAATGAGGTTTCATGATTCAATAGGTTTGAAAAAGTTGTATTAAACATAGTGAACTAAATGGAGCTTTTAATATGCTTATGTGTGTTGTGTGTATCCAAGAGGAGGCTCTCATATACAGTGTTTTCCAAACCATTTGACCATGGAACATTTTCTCATCACATATCTCATAAGAAGCCGTGGTGGCATAGTGGTTAAGAGCTCAGCTGCTAACCAAAAGATCAGCAGTTTGAATCCACCAGCCGCTCCCTGGAAACTCTATGAGACAGTTCTACTCTGTCTTATGGAGTCACTATGATTTGGAATTGACTCAACAGCAAAGGGTTTGGTTTGGTGGTTATCTCACACTTTCCCAAAACAAAATACTGTTTTAGAAACAATAGCATAACAAATACTATATTATAAATGTTAAGAATATTTCTTTATAAATTAAGTAGACTTTTAATAACTGCACAGAGAAATATCTTTTTATTTCCATCTTATCCTCCTTTTTATTGTCTTTTTGAATTCTTTTCAAATGGGTGCCCCTATTTTTAAAATTCCATACCTTTTTTTTAGTAAGAAACTCATGCTTTATGATTGTACACCAGAACTCTGCTTTAATACTGTAGGACTAGAATTCAGTGGAAGGTAATACCCTGGATCCTAATCAGAAGTTTTCAAAAGACCACATATAAAGACATCTTAGGTAAAAGTTGTTAAAATAAAAAATTTTCCCTCAAAGAAAGTTGAGGCTGCAGCAAAGCACAACTTGAGGGGCCACCGTTCACACTGCAGTCCAGAATAGTGTTGTCCAGTAGAACTTTCTGCGATGAGGGAATTGCTCTGTGTCTGTGCTCTGTGCTGTCCAGTATGGCAGCCACTAGTTGCATGTGGCTATTGAGAACTTGAAATGTGGCTGGAATGAGAAAGTGAATTTTTAATTTAATTTAATTTAAATTTAAACAGCCACATGTGGTTGTGGCTAACGTATCGGATGGTGCAGGTGAAGGATTATGGTCCAGAAGGTGTCAACTACAATGTGATGGGTGCTCTCGGGTTTGTACCATATGGAGGCCTCACTTGCAAGAGAACAGAATGAGGGATCACTTAGGTTTACAGTAAAGACTCTGAGAGTTTTAGTGAGATACTACTGAAATAGAGTAAATATAATCAGTAAAATAACACCTGAGTAACAAACAGCACATATGAGTAAAGCATACTGTTTAAATATATAAAATTACAAAAACAGAATGTCCTTATAAATAATCTACCTATGATTCAGATTTGACGTTTTCAAGTCTGAATCAAATTTTACTATATCAAGTTAAACACATATATTATATATAATGTTATATATACATTATATAGATTCTGACTCATAGTGACCCTATAGGACAGAGTAGAACTGCCCCAGAGGGTTTCTAAGGAGCAGATGATGGACTCAAACTGCCAACCTTTTGGTTAGCAGCCTGAGCTCTTAACCACTGCACCACTAGGGCCCCTATAAATAATTAGTCTCCAAAATTAGTCTGAATAAAATTTTACTATCTTTATTTTATGCACAAATCTTTTTGGTTTTAAAAGTTTATGGTACTGGCATATTCTATAAGGCTTGGTAGGAAAATAATTTTAAAAAAAGAGAAAGAAAAAACTTGTTATTTATCCTCTAGGGCATGTATCTTTACTTCTAGGTGGCAAAACTGATATAAAAATGCAAATCCCCATTTTCTACTGATGACCATTTTGTCAAGTACAATCCAAAGCATATGAACTTACAAGCCTTTCAAATAGAAGAAAACTTACAGAATAATTGTATTTTATATACATAATGAAAGAAGAGGAAATATTTGCTTTAATCACTTATATGTAATGTTAATGATCAGATAAAACTTTTCAGTTGTTTTTTTTCTTTACAAGTATTGAATAAAGCAGCATGCAATTAACCTAATGTTAACACTTCATTTGGACTTACAGCATCATTTCTTCATTCGACTTCTCTTGGGACTGATTACAGTTCTGATAATTTGCTGTTAAAAAAGAAGTTTTTAAGTTATAAAGGAAATTAGTTTATAATAGGCTATACTGTTTCACAGGTAACTCTCCAAACCCAATGAAGTACATTCTCAAGAAAATGGACTTAATGCCCATCCATAGGTTTATGATCATCTTATGCTATATTCTTTCATCTAAAATTTGAAATAATTCTCTCTGCTCGTAAGAAACACTCGTACAACATCTAAAATTACAAGAAAATATTAATTATGTAGCTAATACCCGGAAAGGATTCTGTAGGACATCTCTGATTTCAGCAAACAGAGTGATAGTAATGGAATTCTCCTTTCTCGCCTCAGATTATACATTTAGAATTCAGTTTGAGACACCTCAGGGAATAATTTAGAAAGTCTAAGAAAAGGCAAGAACATATGAGAAAGTTCTTGAAGAAAAAGCCACAGGAAAAACAAATAAAAATCTTTGAAATATGTTTGTTTAATCAGGATTAAAAACAAACAAAAAAAAACCAAACCTGTGCCGTCAAGTTGATTCTGACTCATAGTGACCTTATAAGAGAGTAGAACTGGTCCACAGAGTTTCCAAGGAGTAGCTGGTGGATTCGAACTGCTGACCTTTTGGTTAGCAGCCCTAGCTTGCAATAGCTCTCAACCACTGCGCCACCAGATAGCCACATAATAAAATAATGTTTAAAACAGTTCTTGGGTTACAAGTTTTCTATGTAAAATGTTCTATGTATTTTCCAATGAAAAATACATTAGACACTAATTAGTAAACCAAGGTCATGATTTCACCCACAGCACAAAACAGTGATCAACATCTACTGTCATAATTTTCTTTCAACAACATTTGAAATCAGGTACAGACATCATGACTCTTCATCACCTACATACCACAACATCATTATCGCATATGACAAGGTCTATGATGTTTATTTATATGCACTCATTTTCCCCTTATTCCATTTATGGAATCCTGGCAGGAAAAAGATTCTAAAGAGCTTATTCTAAATATCAGAATTGACACTGCAGAAATGAAGGCATTAAAACGTAGTAGAAAGTTTTAATGAGATTTAACCAAGCTAATAAAGATAACAAACATTGTCTCTATAAGTGGCACCTAGAATTATATAAAAATGGGATAAGTTCATTTTGGAGATTTTAAAAACAGATGTAGCATGTATAAATGTTCAGTGCTGGCACAAAAATGACCCTCGATAAATGAAGGCTATTATTCATATTTTCACTTGTAGGAGCACACAGTTATCCTTCAGGAAATCAATAATGGAAGGTCGAGGGTATAGCCCCTTAATATCCCTAGTTATACTTAATGTGTTATAATATACCAACAATATCCATGAGTTTACCAAATCCTTATCAAACCTCTTTATATGTTCACCACATTTGATAAAACACATCATGGAACTCTAGAATACTTACACAAAAGAGAAGCCTTACACAAAAGCAAAAATTAGAGTTCACAGCAGTATCAATCAGTGTACCGCCTGCCCTATCTAAAGCAGGTAAGACAATAAGCTACAGAACAGATCTAACAATAGGAATACTCCTATCAACAATTACTCTAAGCAAAGATGAGAAGATAAGGTGGTAGGGAAACTAGAGTACTGGAAACAGAACAACCAGAATGCAATTAAAGAGAATGCTGACACCTTGTAATGTTACTGAACAATTTGTGTAGAAATTGTCAAATGGAAACCTAATATGCTGTGTAAACTTTCACCAAAAACACAATAAAAAATTAATTGTACAAAAAAAAGGAATACTCGCAAGCAGACTGCCTTGCTAGTGTTATCATTCATTCATTCAGAGAGAGACATAGCTGCTCAGTGAATTGGATCTATCTGTTTAACAAACAGAATGGCATCCTTAATTTAATTTATATCATTAAAATATGAAAAAAAATCCATAGCTGTTTAGATAGGAAACCATCACATGGAAGAATATAGAGGTGGAAGCAATGGATTTATTCCACTCAAACAAGGCTGGGACACTTGAAAGATTCTTTGGGTGGAAAACAAGATGGTGTAAATTAGTATTTAAAGTTAAATAGGGCAAAGAAGGAGGTAAATTGGCCCATAGCTAGGCTAGTGTTTAAAAAGATTTCCAGATTTTAATGAGACATTTGTCCCAGCTACAATGAACAGCTGTAAGGACAATTCCCAAGGTGGAATTTGGGGGAAAACCTGTAAAAGCAGGAAATTACTAATATTTATAACATCTATCACATAAAAAAAGACTGTGGATTCTCACTATGTCAGTGCATAGGAGAATTGCTGAAACTTACATCTAAAGAATAAGGTCATCTTGAAGGATATAATCCTGAAATAGGATGCTGAAGAGGCAACGATACGTGAAGGATGTCTACAAACACAGGAATACAAAAAACACTTTTCCTATTCTGATTGCAATTTCTCCCCCTATCTTTATTCAGGGTATTTGTCTCTAGTATTACGATTTTCTGCAGTTGTTTCCTGCTTCCTTGCTGCATCATGTTCTATAGTGCCATACATGTCTATGTACTATGAGAGAAATCCTAAGAAGCTGTCCAAATGATTTAGCCATGCTTAATTTCTTACTTTGAAACAGTGCAATGAAGTGGCCTGGAATGGCCCGAGACTTCAATTAAATTCTGCTATAGCACCATTTGTGATAGAAAATTATTTGAATTCTTAGAGAGACAGGTTGATCTGTGGTGAATCTTAGATGACTCTTATATACTAAGCACTGTCAGTAAATTAAAAATACATTTATACATGTAGGAACCGTTGAAGTGATTATCAAAATATTATATTTTTAGATAGCTGACATGAACACATAATATAAAGATGTTGTTTGACAATAAAGCTGTCACATTAAGAGCTCACAGTTTCTTTGGGGGTGTTCTTTAGTCCCTAGCAATACATAATAATAAATAACTTGAATACATATTATATAGACACTGTCTGACAATACAATACTCTGTATTGTGAGTTCAATGGTTTTTATTATTTTATGTGCTCGAGTCCCCAGCAATATAGAAAAATAAATGTTGTACTCACTTGTGTTGGTTCTGATTAGACAACCGCTAATTAGGTTATCACTCATTTTTCCTAAAACCAGTGACATTACGGGAAGACAGGCTCCGTTCACCAGTGATGCCAGTAATCCCAGGATCATGAGCGTGATGTCCAGTCCATCAGCAAAGCGGAACTGAGGAAAACAAAACCCAGTAACATTACAACTGCAGACAAACTAGTTTTTACCATCAAATAAATGTTACTTTACAAATTGATTAAATGCTACTTTATGAATTGATAAATAAATGCATAAAATAATGGATATATATGTATGTGTGCGTGTGTGCATATATATATATATCTCCCCAATCTTAAGGATTTTCAAATTGTACTAATGCAAGTTAGCCAAGATGTGGGTGTGAATCAGAAACTGCCTTCCACTTGTTTGACTCAGGAATCAATTAAGCTATTTTAAAAGACTGTGAGGACAATATCTTTGCTTACAGAAAATTAATCTGCAATCTTTTCCCAAATCTACTTCTTAGGCTTATCAGCACCGTAGCAGTGATACAACTAAGCACTGTGAATGGCAACAATGTAGTAAAAATTAGCTCACCAACTGTTATGGATTATATTCTTGATTCTTACTTTAAAGCCCCAGATTTTTTTCACCCAGGACAATGTCTATCCTCTAATATAATTTTCAAGGCTGTTTGGAAAAAGCAAGAAATATCTGAAAGCCAAATACTGAATGCTTTATATTTTATTTTACAGCAGACCCCCAAAGCACTATTCCAAAACCAAAACATGAGCAAAACATGATAACGTGGATTAATTATTTTACCGAGAGGCCAAGATAAAATGTAAGATGGCACTGTAATATAATTAGGTTTGCATAACAGCCTGAGGAACTTAGTAAATATTTTATGAGTGGAGACTGAAAAATGTCATGTTTTCCATTCATTCATGAAATAGCTGATAAAAATTTATAGTGTAACTCCCATAGCATTGTACTGACTAGTACAGATGGTAAGAGGGTACCGGATCCTCCGTCTTTGTCCAGAATAGTGTGTTACCTCCTTAATAGAGTTTGCCATGTTCTGCTACCTGCCAAGGTCTTTTGAATTTGACTTTTGAACAAACAGGCACTGTTTCACGTGCGTTTCTAATGACACTGACAGCCATGCTGACCCAGAGATCACAGTAGGCAGAGAGGCTGCCTGGGAACATGCCTGAAAATGTTCCTTGAACATAATTCCAAAGATGTATCCTTACACTAGAAACACTTTGATATATTAACAAAACTAAAACCCAAACCCATTGACATTGAGTCAATCCCGACTCACAGTGACACTATAGGACAGAGTAGAACTGCCCCATAGACAGTGGTGTCACTAGGGTTGGTTTCACCCCCCCATGCTAATTACCACAATATTGTAGCTAAAACACCAGAAAATCTGACAAAATCAGCAAATACAAAAACACGGCAGGAAAGACAACAGCGCATGCTTGTAGCACTTGCAGATGAAAAACCACGATTTGAAGTGACGCTGGAATTGAGTAATAATGACAGCTGTGACTGGAGCACCTTAGAAGGTTCAAAAAGAAAATTATCGTATAGTTTTAGACTTGTAGGTATATTGAGACATGAAAGCTTGGCTTACAGTTTTTTGTTGTTGTTGTTATAACTACAGGGATATTTTTATAAAAACATAATAAATATCTGCTGAAAACCTACACACAAATTTTACAGACAGTTGTTTTGGTATCACCCCCTTGACACAGTGTCACTCGGTGCGGTATACACCCTCTGCACCCCGCAGTGATGCCACTCCCCATAGGTTTTCCAAAGTTGGAATTTTTATGGAAGCAGACTATCACATCTTTCTCCCACAGAGTGGTTGGTGGGTTTGAACCACTGACCTTTTGGTTAGCAGCCAACTGCTTAACCACTGCACCATCAGGGCGCCTTTTCTGATATATAGGGTTTACAAAAATATTTAGATTCCTACATTAAAAGGATTTATAATATTTTAAAATATTTTAAAAAGCAGCATATATATCAATATACAATCATTGGAAAATACTGAAGTATAGACATAAGACAGTAAACATCACCCATAATCCTATCACTACTCAGAAATAACCTCTGGTAAAATTTACGCATATTGGAAAAAATATGTGTGTATAAAGTCATTGAATATACAGCTATTTTTTGTCCCAAATTTAGTTTTGCAAGTGTCTTAGTTATCTACTGCTGCTATAACAGAAATACCACAAGTGGATGGCTTTAACAAAGAGAAGTCTATGCACTCACAGTCTAGTAGGCTACAAGTCCAAATTCAGGGCGCCGGCTCCAGGGGCAGCTTTCGCTCTCTGTCAGCTCTGGAGGAAGCTCCTTGTGATGCATCAGTCTTCCCTTGGTCTGGGAGCATCTCAGCGCAGGAACCTCAGGTTCAAAGGACACGCTCTGCTCCCAGCACTACTTTCTTGGTGATATGAGGTCCCCAACTCTCTGCTTGCTTCCCTTTCCTTTTATCTCTTGTAAGATAAAAGGTGGTGCAGGCCACACCCCAGGGGAACTCCCTTTACATTGGATCAGGGATGTGACCTGAGCGAGGGTGTTACATCCCACTCTAATCCTCTTTAACCACAGGCAGAGATTATGATTTATAACACATAGGAAAATCACAAAATGGAGGACAACCACACAATACTGGGAATCATGGCCTAACCAAGTTGACACATATTTTTGGGGGGGCATAGTTCAATCCGTGACAGCAAGGCACTACCCTGAGTCACTAGTTGTATTCTCTTGTATGGAAGTTGCGTTGTTTATTTTTCTTATCATGGAACTTTCGTTATTTTTATATTTTTTTTTTCTATTGGAAGGAACACATGGATGGAATTTTCCTTCAAATAATACATGTAAACTATCAAACAAACCATTCCATCTGCTACTAAAAATTCCCTAAAATTTTCTTATTCATGTACTTTCCAAATGATTTGACTTACTATTTCAATAGGTCCAACAGCTTGCTGTCTCACTTGAGGCAGTTCTTGCAGTGTTCTGGAAAATGAATGTTTAAAATGGAAAGGTTACAATGCAAGTATGATGTGCAAAATTTTCAAATTAAAATTTGTGTCAAATTTAATCTTTGATTGTTGTTGTTAGCTGCTGTATTTGACTCATGGTGACCTCATATGTGCCAAAGTAGAACTACCCCATAGGGTTTTTAAGGCTGTGACATTTCAGAAGCAGGCTTGTCTTCCAAGGTATCGCTGGGTCGGTTTGAATGGCCAACTTTTTGGTTACTAGTCGACTTTGGTAGCAAATTTATATCAACATTGAAATTTTAAAAATAATCTCGATGGACAGTACAAAGATTTTTAGTACAATCACTGAGAAAATAAATTTTTACTGGCTGCCCCTAAGTTTCTTAGGGTAACAGCAGAAGACACTCCTCTAGAGTACATTTTTAACCCTTTGTAACAAATTGCTCAAGAGCAACTATCAGCTTTTAATGAAAGGAGGCCTATTAAGAACGCATTAAACAAGGGTAGTCTGAATTTTTTTCCACATTTAAAATTTTCTTTTCTTAGCTCACATTTCAAGGAAGTCTGATTGAAAATTGTAAATTTTCTTCTTTCAGGTCAGGGAAATCTGTCTATTAAACACACACACACGCAGATTCCAAAACATTAAAAAAGGACTGGAGGTGAACAGATTGTTTTCTGAAAAGCCATCTCAAAAGTGAAAACTTGACTCTT